TAGGTGCTGTCTGGTTGGGCGCACTACCGGTGCTATTGACGGACGTGCTCTTAAAGACATGCGATTTGGCGATGCGTTTATCGGCGCCGGTATTCAGATTAAGACGTGCTTTGATATGATTTAACGGACCTTTAATGCGGGTGCATATCAGGGGAATGGGAGGTACAGGTGCCGAGACATACAGTATATAATGCCATACATATAATCATTGGTGAAATTAAAACAAAAAATAAATAAAACATAAAAATTAGTTAACGTTTCGTGCGTACAGTCAATAGTTTTCAAAAACTTGTCAAACAATTAATGATACATTAGGTGTGAGTGTGTTATACACACACTATAAGTGTATCTAAAACTTCAAACAAAAGTTTTTTTGCAATCAATTAAACTCGTGATTCAAAGTATAAAATCATACAAACCTTTAGTCCGTTTACTGTGTGCGGGATTAGTTTGACTCGTATTACTAGTAACGGACTTTTTATTAGCCTGAATCACCTTGGTGGGTGAGGATTTGCTGGATGCTAAGTGTTGGTCAAACGTGAAGCTATAGTTCATTGTGTTTTGCGTTTGCGGTTCACTATAACGCGGTTTACTATCCGTAGCGCCAGTCGTGGTGTTCACGCACTCACTGCCAGTCACTAACAGGTCTGTGGTTTGCATTGCGAGCGACAGTCAGTCGTGTTGTTCACTGTGTGACCAAATGGGTGTCAAATAGTTGTCAAAACTTTATAAACACATCAAAAGTATGTGTTTTTCGTAATTGTTTTGTCAAATGAGTGCATTGTTTACGAGTTTTGTGCACATTTTGATTGTCATTAACATTACGTCATACGACTCGTCAGTATTCATAAATAGTGTGACAACAAAGTTGTCAACTTTTTCACAATATATAGCTAAAAGTTTTAAACACTTTCCCATACTTTACATAAAAACACTTATTTTTACTTAATTTTATCCTGGTACTCATTTTGAAATAGCTTATATACTTGAATTACCCTGGTAATTACTTGTAATAATTTATTTGCATTTAATGTATAATACATTTACTGCTAAACAGATGGCATTCCCAGCGAAATGCATGCAAAACGAGTGGTCTCTGCAAACACGTGACACACGAAACACAATACAAAACAAACCATTCATTCATTCATTGAGTTGTGGTTTCGGTTCAAAAGTTTTTTCAATCACTGATTGTCTGTATTGTGTGGACACAAGACATAAGACATAAGACATGGCGGATGAGGACAAGACAATAGCAGCCAAACCAGTGGCAGCTCAAGAGGAAGTGACCACCGAATCGGAGGCCGACAAGAGTAACAGCTTAGGGATACCGACCGCCGAGTTTG